GACTATGCATATATATCTATCTTTTGATTTTAAAAAGGAAAGAGAGAATAAGAGTGAAAAATAGACCTAATAATGATTTTAATCGCGGATCTTGGAAGCACTAGAAAAAACCTTTCTAAGAGACATTCCGTGAGAACACCAAACATTGCGGTCGGGGAAAACTTTTTGTTTTCGATTTTGAGTATCTGGTCGGAAAGAGCATTCAATTTTCTCGATGTCATATTGTATATTAAGACTTGGGCGCGAGCGACATGCAACAAGTTGCATAATTTCTACAGTTTAGTTCTCATAATTTCAAAAATGTATGTCTTATTATACAACTGTCCACTTCTTCAATAAATGATTTTATATTATTATCCTGTAATAAAATATGAAAAGAAATAAAGAACTAGATAACATTATTGAGTTCAACTGCTCTTTTGATCATTCTGAACGGTTTCGGCAAATGTCATTGACCAGACAAGTGGCTCAGGAGTGGTAATAGTGACAAAGTCACTCTTCGGTTCACTATAAGCATTTGATGTACTGATCAGCGTATTGTAATTGAGCTCCATTTTTTCATTAAGATCCCACTGCAAGCCATTTGTTACTACTTTGAGAGGACCGGCGAATGGAATCAAACTACAATATGTACCACATAGAGATGATCGAATTTGATGAACGCAATTAAGACCGGCCTTAAGCAGAAATGTGACATCATGATCGGAAATAAGAAATATATGTAGCTTTGGATAAAGATAAAGGGTATGGATGATGCTCATTGCTTGATCGAAACGACCAGCGAATGTGCAGAAAACGTAGATATGTTGAAGAGATTCAGTACCCATTTTCTTTTGCATTTCTTCCAAACATTTAGTGAAATCAGTTGCATTTTGATCTTTGGTTTCAATAAGAGGTATCTTCAGTTTCTCTTCATAAAATTGTTTTGTTTCAGGCTTGATTGAATCGAAATCACCACTAATAAAATCAGGTGTAAAATGATCAAAACGTTTTTCTTTTTTTTCAAGAATGAATTCTTGCAATGCATTGCTTCCACCATCAGCACAAGCACGAATTCTTGCTCTAGACCAGATTGATTCTGTTAACCATTTATCAATACTTGGTTTTGAATAATTCAAAATAATCACTCCGTAGGACGTAGGCGAATGCTCGGCATTTTCCTCAAAAATATCTAATGGATAGTAATCGAATACAGGCTAGAGAAAAAAGATATTGTTCCCGATTGCTTTCTTGAGATTTTAGACTTTCTCTTACCTTCTCATTTGTAAACAACGGCTGCGAATTAAACATGGCAAGAAGCACTTTCTTGACGTGAGAAGAAGAAAATGGATTGATCACACGATATTTATTTTTATTGAACAAAAAGCAGATTTCTGAAATTTTATTAGATTATTTATTTCATCGATAAAATAAGCGCAACACAAAGTACAAACTAATCAGACGTCTATTTCTTTACTGTGCTCATATAACAAACTATGGTCTAGTTTTTAACAATCATGACTTCGTATTCATTACTGTGAATATGAGACAACACATAGCAAAAAAAAATATTTTTTTCGTTGATGTACAAAAAAAGAAAAAACAATAGTTCCTACGTGTGTTTATAATGAATCATCACATTTATTTTGTGCTTATTCATTCACTTTTCTCGTCAGCTATATATACAATGATTCCACTTCCGTTCTTTGCTTGTTGTATTGTCAACATTAGTCATAATAATATGGCAACGTGAATCATTACCTTTTCAATATTACTGCGAATAATAAATCGGATAAGATTTTAACCATTCTATCAGCGAAAAAATTAGTCAAGTCATTGTATGCGAAACTTTGAATATTGTAACTTGTTTTTTATGTGCAATTGAGTAGCAGCAAAACTTGGCTTTGTAGATGCTTAAACAAATTCTTCATCGCTTTTTATCAACTACTAGTGGATACGATTATGTTTCTCTCCCACCAGCTGAATAACACATAATCAATGTTTTGACCGAACGATCATCGTCGCATACACTCATACATCATTATCATTTACAGTTGTCCTGATCTTGATCGAATAGTTGCAGCTGTATCTCTCTGAATTCTTAAGAGAGGCCCCATAAAGAAACTAAAGATTTTCGGCTATCCAAAAGGCATGATGCAAAAGTGATTTTAAATTTACTCCTGTAGGAAGTGATATTTTGATATATCACAGAAGAATCGTAAGTATTAAGATCTAAACACTTACTCCTGGTGGAGTAGGGTGAATCGACTTCTGACAGCACCGTCCTTCCTGAGACATGCCTCAAAATCCTGAAAAACTATATCAAGCTGAGTTATCATTGTCTGGTAAATCTTTTTGGAAATTTTTTTATTGTTAAAATTGAGTCATGTACCAATCGATAGAACTCAATTTGCTATACAAAACTATATATGCCATTTCTCATCAATCTCAATATAGCATAAAAATAATTTAAATACTGTGTTATTCTAGACTTCAGAAAAAGACTTTTGTATGAAGTATTTTTACTAAAGGTTCGGAATAGAAATCAAATGCCAAAGAACTTTTTATATCATTTTGTATTCTTTTGTCGTATATAACACTATAAACAATAATTAATATAATAGAAACCCTTTCAGAATATTCTGAATGCTTACTCTATGAGCTATTTTTAAGTCGATCAACCTCGAAGTAAAATGTCAGCTGAAAGAACAAAGATACTCAAGTAACGATATAGAAAACTGGTAATGATGTTTCATGAGTACCGATCAATCAGTTACTTATTGCCCGGCAAGTTTTACAGCGTTTTGTCTCTTATGTTTGATGAGCGAAATAGCCGCCGAAGTACTTTTAAAAATTTGGATATAGAAGTTTCTCTACATGTTCTTTCGTTTCCTATAATAAAAAAGGTATGTCAAATTTTTTTAGAGTATGGTCCTATTTTAAAATGCTCGATGAATTTGTGAATCATTTCTTAAATACTATCCAACGATTCTTTAATACAATCACCGCATTTTCTTTTTGTTAGTCACATGAATGTTGAAAAAATAATGTTCGCAGTCGATAAGAAAAGAAAAATCATTCTGAAATGGTATTCATGATACTTGAATGTCAAAACACTTGCTGACACATGGTCTTCGTTGTTTCCTTCTTCAATATGTTAATATAAAAGATTGTTTTTTTTTCTTGTCTGTTCTCTCACAATAGCATCACGAATGGCGTCATATACTCGTTGAAATTTTGTTTAAGAAAACTGAATCAAATTTTGTGTCAACACACAAAAGAAAATGACCTTTGTTTAGATAATATATGATATTCTTTCTTTTGTTCATATATCTACTAATGAAATGACTACTATAATGTCATTTAAGAGCGTCATTGACCAAGATATTACATAATGAAAAGAACGTCAACTATTTTTTATTAAATAGATTATAAATGCTCTTTCTAGTTATTATAGAAGTAAAATGTGTCTCGCTATGTTTAATTTTCAGCGGTGGTTGACTAGTAGGAAGATAAGAGATAATAATAATAATAAATTCCATATTGTTCAGTAAGTGATTGTGTTCTTTCTTTAGCCTTCAATCGATCATTATCCATTCAACATTTTGAATAAAGTGGCGAGTATTTATCATCCTCTTAGAACCTATCTTTTTGAACTGTTCAACATCAATTATTGATAGATCATTGGCCGAGAATATCTGATAGAAGGCAAGAATTCGTGGTTGTAATAATGGTGGAAGCCACGTGTTGCGATAGTTTACTCTCGAACAAAAATAAAAATGTTTTGATCGTTTTATGTCCGATTTTATTAGTGGCAATATTGCCTCAATCATGTCCAAAATACAACAATTCTATGGAAAAAAAGTTAAAGTTCCTCTCATTAAAACAAAAGATAAAGATTTAACTAATTTCACCAAATGACTGCAAGAGTAACTGAATAAATCTAGAGACGAATCAATTCAATATATCTTCGTTTTATATACATTTGTTGATTATTTTGATCAAGCGATGAGCATCATTCATACCCTTTATCTGTATCCGAAGCTCTATATATTTGTTATCTCTGACCAAGATGGCACATCTCTGCTCAAACCTGATCTTAATCGTATCTACCAGATTTGATCATTACTAGGTGGTAAGCACAACAGTATCACAACACAATAATCAGTACCTCAAATGCTTATAGTACTCCGAGGAATGACTTTGCCATTATCAACACGCCTGATCCGTATATATAGTCAATGAAATTCGCCGAAAGAAATCAAAATAATAGTGCACTTTGATAACATTATCGTTTCGGTATTCCTTTTTATATTTTATTACAGGATAATAATATGAAATCGTGTATAAAAAAATTGACAGTTCTATTACAAGAAAATTAAACTTATGAGACTATGAAAACTAAAATATAGAAATAACTGAGCTGATTTTACGTTTCTCATAGATGATTTTTTTATCAAATTACTGAAATCACCCTGAATTTATTACAAAAATCAAGGGGAAATATTTCGAACAGCAACTTCAATTCGGTATTTTTGTTTTTCACAGAGATGAATGGACTACATTACTGACAGAAGCAATTTGGTATTTTGTACTACTACTACCGATGGAAGAAGGTCGTAACCAAAAAAGCTAAAAATAGACCGATAAAATCATCGCATTTATATCATATCAGAATTTTTTCTCTTCTCGCTACTCCTTCAAAACGTGTTCGATATTTCATCTTGTAATGCCAAGTTTTTTTCTTCCTTCATCCAACATGCAAAGAAAGTAGAGGAAGAAAGAGAGAAAGAGAATAGAATAATATAAGGGTACCTTTTTGTATATGCATTTATTTTACATCTTCATCGTCTCGAGTTTTCTTTGTTCTTTTTCATTCTATATAAAAAGCAACCACGCTTCTTTCCTTGCATTCTCATTATCGTCAGTTTTCTTTTTTTCTTTTTCATTCTGTACAAAAAGTAGTCGTGTACCACGTTTCTTTCCTTGCATCTCTCTCTCTTTTCTCAATTGTCTGAACGATGGATCAATGGGAGCGCGCCTCTCAATTATTAATTTCAGCTGGTGTCGGTGTTAGTCGAACGATTGGTGGTCTTCCACTTGAACATCCGCTCGATACAATTCGCACACGATGGCAAGCAAACCCAACGCAGTCTCGTAATGCTCTTCAAGTAACCCGTGAAATATATATGTCAAAAGGTTTTCTCGGCTTCTACTCGGGTGCCATTCCAAATACGACTCGACGTGCTGTCAAACAAATGTATCGTTGGCCAATGATGCTTTTCTTTCCCAATTTCTATCGAGATCATGTTCTATCTACTCGCATTCAACAGAACTATCCACGTTTACCAAAAATTCTTACTGGTCTTTCCATAGCGAATTTCGAAATTCTTGTTATCAATCCTCTTGAACGTCTCAAAGTCTGGCTTATGACTAGTCCAACACGCCTTAGTCTCATCGAATTCTTTCGACAACGAGCAGATAGTCGAGACATCATCCGAGAACTGTATCGAGGTACATCAGCAATTTTCTTTCGTCAAAATGTCTCCTGGGTCACTTTTCTGTACACCGATGAGTTGACCAAGACGAAATTTCGCGAATATAAACAATCACAAGACTTGACTCATGTCGATCTATTTGTGGCAGGAATGATTGTCGGATTGGTCAATACAGCTGCAATGATGCCATTTGACTATGTTAAAACACAAAAACAAAAATTCTTTCAAAATAATCAATCGATGGTGGACATTTTCAAAACGACTTTGAAACAAGACGGAATTGGTCGATTTTACGTTGGATGGAAGGTGTATCTCATTCAGTATGCAATTGTAGCTATTTTGACGGTCAATATACTGGATAAATTAGAGCAAAAGTTTAAAAAATCGAGCGCCAATACATCTTAATAGTTTTTTTTATTGCTACTTAGGCAAGAATAAAAACAAGGAATTACATTCTTTAAATGTGATATTCTATTAACTTTGATAAATTAAGATCTGTCGAATATCCACTTAAGCCTCAGCTCAAGTGAAGTTTCATACGATCTTCATTTCTGGAATTAATGCTCGTCAATATCTTAGAAGAAAACAAAATATTATACGCATTGTTCTTTCTCTGCTCTGCCGAAATAGGGTGAGTTGACTGTTGACAGAGTCATAATCTACACCAAAAAATACCATTTTTTAGTATTTATCCAGGATTTTCGTAGCTATGAGAGAATTGAAGATCGAATTTATATGAGTGAACGAAGCAAATCATATTCTACAAATCTATATGATTTCGTTCTTATGGAGGATGACCTTCTTGAAGAGTATGAGTCAAAATACTCATCAAGTACTAACGATAATATTTATTTTGAAACTTCTCTTCACTCTAAAGTAATGGTCTGGTACGTATAGTAGAAAATTCTTTTAAAAAAATTACCAACAGTCAAAAGTCAAAGTTAAGTTGGAGAGTACTGTAACGACATTGTATATATCATCTTCGCAAATCTACTAGGAAGTCGAATTGATCTTAACAAAATGGAGTTGATAAACTGCATCTGTAACAGCGCATCTCTCGCAAAAGGACATTGTTATCCCTTGAAGTTATAAGTTGGAAAGAATGTGCATGTGTATAAATTTTCTCACACTTTAAAGATATTGTGGGTCAACAAGAGCATATTTTTTGTAAGTATTTTTGTTCTCTTATCATCATAGAAATCTTCTTACTTTCACAACAAAATGATGCATGTAATGTATGATGTACTCTTTGATTTGTCATGAAGTGAAGTGAGTCAATTGAAAAGAAAGGTGACAATAAAGATTTCTGTTGATTCATCCACAAGCATCATTCATAGATAGCAATGTGTAATTGCCAAATCAAGATGAAAGAAATACGTCACTCGGTGAAATATCCTTCTATAGACAATAATCCTGTAAAAAAATGACAATGGAAACACTAGTGATTTCTAATGTTAGCGTTACACGATTTTTTAAAATTTTTCACTAGAAAAACATTAATGATCACTAACGCTATACTGGCATTGTTACTAATTGTTCATTATACAAGCATTGATAATCATTAGTAATAGTGTTACATTATCAATGGTTTTTCGTTGGAACAGAGTCAATGATTACTAATGTAATATTTTATGATTATTAATTTTTCCTTAGACTTGCATTAATTTTCACTATTGTTTTTTAAACATATTGCTTCACAGCACACTAAATAGCTCTGTCTGTAGCGTTCGAACATACACTATCATCGTTGCCATGGATGAATTTAGCGCTTGACCAAATATATACATTCATTCTTAATGGAGATTTAATCCTGCTTTCGCATCTGTCAGAAAATAGTACTGATTACTAGTGACTTTTCGATAGAACATTAGTAAAAATTAGTGTCTTCAGAATAATTAGTGACAATTAATGATTTATCCGAAAGAAATTACAGCGAGTTAATTCTTTTCGAAAAAATTGGAAAAGTTAGCGATTTAACACTAACATTTATGAAAATTTATTTTTTCTCATGTTTTCAGGCTTATTTTTATTTGGGTAGTTCCACTCTATTCATTGTAAGTCTAGCTGATATGTAGTATACGAGTTAGAACCTATTCTTTTTGCCATTGTTTATTGTACAGTCGCAAGTCGAGAGGAAGTGTGGAAAAGCCGATCAGTCTTTTAAAACATGGTGGTTCTCTTTTGTAATTATTTTGCGAACTCCAAGGATCCTGACCCGATTGTGTGGATCAAATATTTTAAACTTCAGTTTTTAACTGTGTGCTTGATGCTAATTTCCACAGTGAAATCTGGCTCTAGGAACAATTTCTTCAATCTTCATTGACAATTCAATATCTTTTTTATTTCTAATGTATTACCAAAAAAACAGGAGAAAAATACAGAAAGAAAAATGACTGTAATTCAGATTGTACAGATTCATGCCAAAAAGCGTATTCATATTCGCACACTTGTCGAAAGAGTTGTTTCAGCTCTTGCCTTTGTTCATGTGAACAATCGTTGACTAGGGGATTCGTAAGGTCGAGAAAGTAGATCAATCGATCTCGCCTCGCTTGATCACGATAATAATCAATGAAATCGCCATAGCGTTTGACTGTTGGCTGCACACGACTTGCGATCATTCAATCACCAATTTTGGCGTAGACAAGAGTACAAGGCAAGAGAGTAATGAAACCCTTTACCCATCCCAAATCGCTATTGCATGAGCTCTAACAAAGAATTTTCCACACTAACGAGTTTTATCACTGCAAGTTCTTTTTTTTAAAGACTTTCCAATAGGACTCAACTGTGAACGGCACCATCATCGCACAAATCAATTTTGAGCCATATTTCGTATTGATATCTCAAGAGAAAATACAACCAGGTCATTTTGACAAGTGTAAGGCAACTGTCTTTATAATTTTTATTAAGTCGTGTGACGAATAAATGAAGTTCACTGTTGTTAACAATTATCTTGAGCATTTATGCCTATTGTTAGACAATGAATGTTTCAGTACTTGATTGACGTGTTCATTCTTTGTCTTGAATGTCAAGATTGTGTACTCTGCAGTGTTTCATCAAGTTCAAAAAAAAAAACTGATTGGCACTAAATGTGCATTTAATCAACTAATATCTCCCGCATTAGAAAATGCTGGTTGTTCTACTCCAACGTCTAGTTCTTCAAAAACGATGTTCTTTTTATATTTCGTATTACTGTTTTTGGCAAAAACCAGTCTAGTATAAACGTCTAATTATGAGATAATTTGGTCATGAATGATGATGCATGTGTGTGGCATCATTTCTATCGATGATCTGTTTTTCTAGTGGTATGAAAGTGATAATTGCTTGATTAGAAGTCTGTGATTGTCTGATGTTTTGTTTTCTAACACATGCATCAAAACCTACGGAAGTACTGAAAAATCTATCAAAGTTCACAAAAACACATACATGCAAAATTAGATATATTTTTTGCCACTAGGTATATTCTTGTTTTGGAATAGTAATTGTCCAACTGAATCAGAGTGTTAGACTATTTACATAGAGCAATCATCTCTGAAAGTATTTGTTTATTGATTTCTGCAGGAGATCCTGAGTCGGACTTGATCTTGATAAGTTGATTTCTGGATTTCAGTACGTCAATCAGAGGCAATGTTTCTTTTTCAAAGATTGCGTATCGACGTTCAAAAGTGTCGGCATCATCATCAGTTCGGTTACGCTGTGCACGACGCTCGTTGAGCTGCGCCTTAGATACGTCCAAATAGATTGCAATGAAGATGCGTTGATGCAGATTTTTCAATATACCATCAAGGATAGGAAGATGAGATAAATTACGAGGATAACCGTCTAAGATCATGCCTTTATGATAAACCGGATCGCTCAATTTGTTAGTGAGAAATGTTGTTGTAAGATCGTTAGGAATTAACTCACCAGCATCCATGTAAGACTTTATCTGCTGACCCAGTGTACTTCCACTTTGCACTTCGGCACGAAAAAGATCTCCGGATGAAACGTATGGTCGATCGAGAGCTTTGGCAAGAAGTTTGCCTTGCGTACCCTTTCCCGACAATGGTGCTCCAATAAGTAGAATCACATCATGGCCAAGTAATGCTTGAACATCGGTGATAGACATGTCGTTTCTATATCACAATGTTTTTCAAGCAAACGCAGACGTTCTAATATATTTTTGCTCTTACTAATGTCGTATTAAAGTATTGATTTTGTTGTAGTTAATCGTCTAAAATAATTAATCGTCAAAGCATGAGAAAAAAAACATACATTTTCAACGAGATTGAAAGAAATAGATGCAATACTATGTGTAAATATTCATATTTGTAAGAATAGTGGAAAAAATTACTAGCAAGTCAACGAATAGGACTGTTCTTCACAAGTCTATATCCTTTACTTCACTCATTTGCCTATCAAAAATGCGAAAAAAAATACTGATAGAAGATGAGGGGAAGCTTCACTGTCTTTTCATCACGAAGCAAATATTCAATGTTTCACTAAAAAAGAAAGAACTGCTATGATGCACATGCACATTAAACATGGCCAAAAATGTGTACTAAACGGACGAAATCTTTATAAATGCATCTTCGTTGAGAACGAAAAATCTACGTGGATCAGAAAGAAAGACGCGAGGAAAGAAAGAAAAAATGTTTGCATTATAGTCATTTCAGACGAGAAATTACTAACGTGGCCATGATTTTTTTTCTGCTCTACTCATCTTGACGTTGTATAGGAAGAGAAAGGCTTGCATAGCAGGTATAGACGAACGTAAGAGAAAAAACACCTTGAATATATCAGTCAAAAATTTGTTTCTTATCATCGCAATCTGAGCGTGCTTATTCAACTCGAGTATTATACTACGGTGAATAAACAACGGTCATGATGATAAATGTGTTTATTCTAATGTTCAATTATTCATGAAATACCGTCACTGTGTGGAAGTGATTCACTTAGTGTATTGTATTACGTTCCATTTAATGTGTCATAGAGTGTGTTTACACATGCGAATGTGGGAAGTGTATGCTGTTGTGGGTATGATTTGAGGTGTGCGTGTGAATCTTCTATCCATCCAGACTCTCATAGTTCCATAAATTTCGGAAAGTACATCAGTTTGGAATGTATCAAACAATCGGAAGCTCAAATGCATGAAATTTGAGAAGCTGGTGTCTCGTAGAAATCTGAACAGTATTGCCAAAAAAGACAGATCTTAATCAATTGTGAAAAATAGAAATGAGCTTTTTTGTTTGCTTCAATAAGTTTAGTAGTGCTGTTATTCAGTATGTTAAATATCGATAAAAAATTCAAGAGATTAATTTATAACCTAAAATGTAATATATGTAATCATGTGAATATCGACTATTTCATTACCATTTATTAAGGTTAATTAATCGTGAGATTATAGCAACCAAAACAAGAGAATTTTTACTATTCTTACAGAAAGTCATGATTTTTTCAAACGACATTTACGGTTGCCGAACATAGTTATAGTGTCGTATACGACAGTCGCTTACTTTTGTACTCATAGAAATTTCTCATAAACGAGGAGAGATATGTTTTTTCTTCTCCCTATCTATCATAAATAATTAGAATAGAAGTTTTTTCTTTTTAAAATACTGTTCCATTTGATGTTAATAATATTGATCTAAATAAGGAGAAAAGAATTTATTCTTATATATACGTTAATATCTATGGAAATATCTAAAAATCTATCAAAGCTCTTGAAAACACAGAGTTGTGTACACCCGTACTAAAAATATTACAAAGATGTTTTAGATGTAGGAAAAGATTGACAGATATCTGTGTAAAAGGTAGATTGTTCGAGTGGCATGTAGTATACTTCTTAGCGAATTGAATTCCTATTCATACTCATCGAAATCATTCATAAAAAGATTCTGCGTAAGATTAAAATGATAATTAGAAGCAATTACTTCGAATTTTGATAGTATTTCTAGCCAGAATCTTATTGATGAACTCCTATCAGTATATTTAGTCATTTTAATGTCTTTGTCTGAACTCTAATTAGTGAAAAACATAAGACTAGCACTAAAACACCTCAAATGCAAAAGAAGAATTGATAACCGACTCAAAAGATCTCGATCAATCACCAATGTTTAGAATTTGAACTTATTATTTTTTAACTCCTTTCTACTGAAACTGGTATAATTTCATTTTACGATAATAAAAAAATATAATGACATGTGGAGAACAACAGTGTTTAAGAAGGAGCATGCAGTTTCATGCTCCTCCTGATTCTCTTTAAATGAATAGGAAATATCTCCCGATCATTGGACAGGACTGAGAAATCTTTTGACGGCATAGTTGGATATGAAAGCAGGCAAAATCTCAGAAAAAAATGTTTGAAATTTTTTCTTGGTCGGATTAGAAGATCCGGGTCTTCTAATACGCCTTTCAAATTTTTTGCTCGGAGATCTTCTAATGTGAGGAGTTTACAACATTCATTACAAATCGTGCTTTACTAGAGTTCATTTCTTCATGAACTTGTTTGTAGGACAGAACTTTACCGTACTATCATATATCAACATTCTAATCCTATTTTAGAGTTGGGTAAAGTGACCCTGCAGAACTCTACTATAAACAGTATATAAGTAGATATACTTTTATGAATTAGAATCATTTGTCTTTTGAGCAAGTATTTTTTTTTTCAAAATATTAAATCTTATTTATTATTTTTATTAACGAATCCACAAACGAAGATTTCTCGATTGTGAATAAGAATCTCTAGTTATTGTACATGTCGATGGCAGATACGTTTTCAACCAATGGATTAATTCATCATTGTCTGATGTCATGTGTTCGTTCCATGTATCATCACGACATCGAACATTGAGCGAACGTAAATTTGTCATTGTATGAACGAGATCAAATATACATGCTCGATTTTCTACACGAATACAAAGCGTTTGACATTGAATTCCGAGTGATGAACGACTCAATGTTTGACAATCTTGTTTATTATACCAATCACCCAATGGTTGAAGATCTAGTTGACGTATTGAGATACTTCTGTATTGAAATGAGATCATTTGTGAAATTGCCGATGGTGAATTCAGCAAACTCAGAGAATTTAAATTTGGTGCTCGATTAAGAATCGTTTGTAATTGAGAACGATACGATTTTCGACCATCATACCAATAAATACGCAACGAGTATAGACGATCTAGATTTGAAATACACGACCAAATTGATTGATCGATAGGACATTTAATAGAGAGTTGATGAAGATTTTGAAAATGAAAATGAAAATTGATTGTATACGATGAAAATGTCAATAGATTCGATAAATTACATACATAATCATATGTATGAGAATGATTAAAATCATCGGAACAAGTTGATTTTGAAAAACATGGTAATTGAGAAAAATCTTTAAATGCATATGGTAATGTGTACAAAGAATAATGCTCCTTTTCGAATAGATCACATTGAACAAACCATCGATGAATATCAATCCAGAATTGAGTTTGAAAAGTTTGTAGAAGTTGATTAATTTTTTTATCTATCATATTATCATTCGAAAAATTATCGTCTACTTTAAATTCGAATCGCTTAAGTTTCAATAGATAATTAGTGATGATTCGTTTCCAATCATGACCATTTAAACAAAAATTTAACATTTCAATTTTTAATGCATTTAAATTGGGTAAATTGCGTAAGAGATTTTCGATTGTGCTTTGTTGAGCTGAATGAAACATGATATTCAATCGTTTTAACGATGGTAGAACGATCGAAAAGTGTTCATTTGATGTTGTACATGTCATTTCAATTCGTAACGATCGAAGTCGAGGTGTAGTTTGAAAGAGACGATCGATTTGATTACTTTCATAATAAACACCAGTGACAGAAAGATATTTGATGCTTGATGAGATGACGGTCGGTACAGGAAAATAGCATTTGTATTCCGGTACAATGTTTAGATTCAATCGAACGAGTTTTGGTAAACTCCAAATACTGTTGACAAATTTTAGTTGATATTTTGGATGATTACGAAAATAATATTGATACAAATTCAATTCAGTAAGTAAAGGTAGATAACACAATTCGAATATTATTCGTCTCATTGTATTTTCATTATGAATATGTTGTAATGTGAGAGATCGAAGTTGAATAAATTCTCGAAGATGGAAACCATTATTGAAGAAGCATTCGATTTGTTGTGGTGAATCATCATTGTTAGACAAATGAAGTGAAACAATTCGATGTATATTCATAGGAAGATATTCGATACAAATTGTGTTAAACAATGATTTAGATATGGATTGAAAAAGACCATTATGATCTCGAATATGATCATAAATGAGCGTATTAAAACGAACATTAAGATTATAAAATGCATTAAGAAGATGATCCATACTGAGATATTCGAATATTTCATGTATTGACTCGTTTGTTAATGATTCAAGAATCATTGTATTCCTGATTGATGTATTTTTCAATTAATTAGCAATCACATAGGACAACTCAATTTATATCCTATGTATTTCATGTGATGATTCATAAGTTAATACTTCTCAATAGTTATTTCGTGTAATTACGTAGGAGAAAGAGAATCGATTTTTGTATACCTGCTGATTCATGTGCCATGTATTACCTTTATGTATGTTGTGCAATTTCAACCGTGACAGTTTCTGTTACACGTGGTAACACGATAATAGTAAACATCGTTATGACTCAAGTAACCTTTGATGTACAATCGTAAACGAACTTGAAAATATTGCCTTATTGGTGAACTGAAAGTATAAATTATTTTCAATGGAATTCACAAATATGACTTGTAAAAAGAGTTAAAATTTGATTTTGAGAAAAAGAAAGATTTTGAATTTCGTAGTTGAAGGAGAAATCCTTTTCGGATAATTCTTTCAAAATTTCGATTGTAATGGAAATAAATCGGTAAAAAAAAATCGTTTTTATTTTGAAATTCGCAGCTATTACACACAGATTTTTATAAAAACAATTTTCAATGAATATACTACCGTTTTCTGATAAGGTGAAAATATAAAATCAATTGAACGATGAATGAATCGTCGAGTAACGGCAAGAAAACTGTTATTTCGCTGTTCAATCGCTAGAATAGCTTACTGAAATTATGCTTCACAGCTATCTTAAAAAATTTTCAGATCGAGATAGGATTTTTTTAGCAATGGAATTATTTCTTTATCAAATTTTGATAGGATCAGCAGTGTTTCGAATGCCAAAAAGGGAAATTTCGAACATTTGCCTTCCAGATTGTTTGGTATTTTTCAAAATGATGTAATTTCAGAAATTTTCGTAATTACGAAAATTTCTGAAATTTCTGTAATTACGGAAATTTCTGAAATTTTGGTAATTTCCTTTCTCGAAAATCTAAACATATCTCAATTTTAGTTTAGAGTTAGTGTTATATTTTTTTTTCCAGCTTGTGGTATTAGATTCTTTGTAGTAGCCTGCTACAAAAAAATATTGCAAAAGTCACAATTTGTTGTACTAAATAAATGTTACACTGCTCTTACATGTTGACTCATGATGAAAAGATCCAAAGATGTAAAATCGCTCATTTTGCATTCCCAAAAGGAAGTGTATTAAATTATGGATCTGGCTTTCCAAAAAAATCTGACTCTGATTTTATTAGACTGAGAATCAACATTGA